ATTAAAGAACTGGCAGAGTTGGAGGAAGAATTTGAAGATAGCAGAATAAACTGTGCTACTGGTAATGATTTTTGCTTACTCTAGTGTAGTAGTACATTGTGCACTCTTGTTGAAGAGCTAACTTTTTGTCTTGTGATATCAATCCAAATATGCATTGTGAATACCTGCATAAAGCCATTCTTGAAACAAGTGATCTACAGGCCTGTTACTTACATTTGTTTTGGTAGAGTTATTTTAAAATACATATAGCCAAATTCTTTATAAACTTACATTTTTAAGGGAAAATAGGTAAGAAGGTGATAGTTCTGTATCTCAGCACATTAGCTGCCTTCACTTTGCAGTCGCCTTTGTCATTTAATGTTTCTTATTGTAAAAATGATGCTTTGAACATTAACGCCTCCTTGATAACATTACAGATTCCCTCCAACTTCTCCATCCTGCCTGGGAATTGTCTATAAATCTGGATGAACTAGAGCCCAGGGGGACATTTTCATTTGTAAATCATGTGGAACTTAAGTGGGTTTTCCACTTTCAGTGGAGTCAGTGAAATTGGGCTCTTCAGTTTTTAGTAACTATTTACTGTCTAGTAACCCAGGGATTGGGCGGCAAATCCATGCCCCTTAGTAGACAACAAAGGGCAGCATTTTGCATAAAAACTGAGTCTGATGGGTTAGCTACCTTCAGTCCACCCTGGATTGTGCTTTCAGCCCAGTTGTCCCGAGGTTCTTTGCTGTGGCAACTTTAAACACACACCAGATAGAGGGCCATCTGCAAGCTTTGGTCTTGCTTGTTCCTGAGAAGTTTTATTGTACGAATAGTTGATTCATGATTGGTAATTCTGAAGACTGAGGTATGATAGCATTATTTGAAGTAAAATATGATTTAGGGCGATAGCTCTAAATGCCAGCACTGCATTTGCCAAGTGTTTCTAAAAATTAAAAATTTCAGGGAGCAGCACCCTGTTAGCAGTTTCCATCAAAGTAGACGCACTTGCTCTCTAAATGAGACCACTTTGCCTGCTTTTGGAATGGGGTGGCCTGAGGAGTGAGCTGTCAAACTTTGGATTCCATTTGCTGGTTTAGAGGTAGCCAGTGCTTGAACTAGTGAGTAGATGGAGGAAAGTACAACAATCTTGTTTTTATGATAGATATTCTGTAAAAATCTGAAATGTTTCAGCTTGCTAGATGTGTCAATGCACAGACAAGTCTTTTGCTTTTCTCACTGGCTATACTGTACTATTAACAAGGGCACAAGAAAATAAAATTCTGCCCTTTGCTTTATTAAAGGTTTTGGTCCAGAATTTTTTAAGCTGTGTTCCTGCCTACTCTGCAAATGCAGCTTTGTAGTGGACATCCTCTTCAAAGGGGAACGCTTCTTACGTCTTATCACATTATAGGACTTTCTTATGGCAGACCTGCGCAAACCTTCAGACGGGATGGGCTGTACAAATACAGGATCTGAAACAAACACTACACCAGTAATGACGATCTAGTTTTAAAGCTGTAAATGTGGTCTCTAGTCCTAGATTTGTGGTGTTTACTTTTGTCTGTTAATGTGTAGGGAAGGGTCAGTGAGTTGATGGTCTTGGGAGTCTATCTTGCTGTTTGTGGAGGGGTGAATATTGCGAAGTCATTAACAGCTTTTCGTTTAGGGTGAGTCATGTGCGAGCGGCCCTGTGAGAACAGTGGAGCAGCGAAGACGCAAGCTTTCCTAGTGATGGAGCAAACAGGTTTTGTATCTATTTTTTATCAGATGTAAAATTTGTGCATGGCTTTTTTTTGATGTTGCTTAGTAATTGTCAGAGAAGAACATGCGAGGAAAAGTCTCAGCTTTCTCAAGCAGTCTTTTCAGAGGCACGTAGCTGGGGAGTCACAGCTGACCGGCCTAACCTATTGAAAAGATCCTGTCCTTTATAATATTCACCCCGTCCTGCAGTCTCCCCGTAGAGGAGCCACATTGTTGTATTCTAGTAATTCACTGTGATTTATAATAAACCAGTGGTGTCATTCTGTTGTGCACTTTGTCAAACCTTTTACGTGACTTTAATAAACTTAGTAAATTTGCTGGCTGCACCAGAGGTCTGCTAGTGATTTATATATTTGCATGATATTTTCCATTTCAGTTTGACATGTAGAATCACTTTTAATTTTATGGCAATTGACAGTCGTAATAGCTCAGCTAATTTGAAACTAACAATCTTGCTATGTAAAAGGAAAAATGGTGTTTGTGTTCAGTAAATGTTTAAAAAAACTACCTTGAAGTGTGTGTCTTTATTGTTCAGTGTGAGATGATCTTTTGAGTTCATTGAGTTCTTGAGGTAATACGTGTGCATGGAATAAATTCATACATTAAAGAAAAGCTTAAATGGAACAGAAGTTCCCCGCTTGTCTCCACATCAAGTTTAGATTCTGCAAAGGCAATGATTTTTAAGTTTTTTGATTAATTTACCATAATTTTTGTGTATGTATGGTTTCACTTTATTATTGCATATTAATTGTATAAAGGAGCTTTATTGTGGTGTCTGTTACGTATGTATTTATTTTAAAATGCCAAATGGACTTTACCTTTTTTTTTTAACATCTTAAGCATTTAAAATTTTTTTCATATATATGGAGTTTTTGAAAACAATTTTATAGTAGTCTATGGATAGACTTAAATTTTGTTTAGCCAGATCTTATTGGTGGGCTGTTAGGTTTTCAGTTTCTGATGCTCCAGACAGTATTGTAGTGAACATCTTATGTGTAATACTTAGCAGATTCATTGCTAGCTCTGGATTTTGATGCCTGGCTCAGCCTCACATGTACTGCTCTGGGCTTTGTTATACTTTTTGATTGTGGCTTGAGCCATAATCATGGAAATGTTGCACTTTTCTTTTAATGGAGAAATAAAAATAATGCCAGACTGGAATGGTAAGTCTGTAGTGGTGCCCTTCAGTCATCATTTTCCTGCTCATACTGTTCTCTGAGCCTGATGAGTTCGCTGGGCACAGTTTAGCTTGAAGCTTTCTGAAAGTTTCAGAGCCTAGGTGTGAGTCTTCTTGTCCTCTTCACACCTAAGTGGCCATGCTTCTTCATTCCTGTTCCATTTTGTTTTGGAACATGGTGTCCTACTTCAGGGTAATGTCAGCACTTACAGCATAGACTGATAGAAAAGCACTCTGAAAATCTTACTGTGATTGATTAGGCTTGACTGCTGTTTGCGAGAAACCTTGGTTCTGCCTCAAGGATAATTTGGGAATGTTTTGTGTTTTTCTTAACAAGAAGCAGTACAAAATAAAGAGCTGGCCCCATGTCAGCCAAGGTAAGATCCAAGGACATTACATTGTGGACTGCTGGCGACTATTAAGTCATTCCTGGAGCATCTGTATGATTAGAGATAGGTGGTGGTCAAGTCATGTCAGGAAATGAACATGATTAAGCCAGTGGGTTCTAGTATAGTCTTGCATTCTGGGGCATGAGACCATATAACTCAAGTCCCACCTTCCCCCCCCCCTTTGTCTCCACATATTGTTCAAAGAGCAGTCCCTCTTAATTCTTAGCTGTATGATCATTTGGTGGCCTCAGCTATCAGCCAGAGTCACTCAAAATTTGCAGTGAAAGCGATGTCCTGGCCCCTCTTCCAGCAGTCAATCTGAACCCTAGGGGTCAGTGTTGCATTTGGCATCTTAAAAGTTCAAGTGAGGATGCTTCCTCTAAAATACATCTTTCATGTTTACTCTGCCCGGTCTGTACCAGTCTTGGACATTTCTATTTCAGAGTAAATAGATTGAGAAGGGAGAACTAGTAAGAGAAAAAAGAGACAATGGAAGAGCTGAAGACTGAAATGCAAGCCTCCAATTCCTTCAGCTCTTGGCCATTTAGTTGGAGGAGGGGTTAGGGACATGTGGAGGGACTGGAGTTCCGGGGTGAGGCTGCCTTCTGCTTGAGAGTCCAGAGGTGAAGTTTGAGCAAACCTTTGGACACACATAGCAGTTTCTTTTTTTTTGTTTTGTTTTGTTTATGTGGTGCTGAGGAATTGAACCCAGGGCCTCAGGCATGCAAGACAAGCGCTCTACCACTGAGCCACCTTCCCAGCCCCCACACATAGCAGTTTAAAAAATACAAATGCCAAAGTGGGCACTGGTGGCTCACGCCTGTAATCCTAGCTACTCAGGAGGCTGAGATCTGAGGATCACAGTTAAAAGCCAACCTGGGCAGGAAAGTCCGTGAGACTCTCATCTCCAATAAACCACTAGAAAACTGGAAGTGGCGCTGTGGCACAAGTAGTAGAGCGCTCGCTTTGAGCTTTGAGCTGACAGCGCCCAAGCCCAGAGTTCAAGCCCTATGACTGACCCCCTCTCCCCAAAAAAATGCCTGTTTAAAAATCATTTTCCCTAAGAACAATCAGGAGAAAAGACACTACCCAATCAAAATGATGCACTTTAGATCACAGGCTCATAAAGCTCTTTTCCAGGTTATCCCATCATAAGGATGAGGACTGGTGTGGAGTGCGATGCAGTGTTTTCCCGGTGATTCTATTAGGAAAGCAGGCTCTGGTGTGCATTTTCACCATGTTCTCTCTACAGGGATAGTCTGGCTGGGAGGTGGTGCTCTTGGTTTCTCTTGGTCTCTTCATTGCTCCAGAAAATAAGATGAAACACCTTTTAAACTTGTTGGGGTTCCAGGAAGCAAAAAGCCCAGGAATGAAATGGTATACAGCACTTGGTTCAAGAGCAGCCAGCACATACAGATAACTCCAGCATCAGCCAGAGCTAAGGGACAGAGTGACATGTCTGGGTTTTAACCACCTGGCCAGAGGTGTGTGTGTGTGTGTGTGTGGGAGGGGTCTCTGGAGGGGCCAGAGACCACAGCAGGCCAGGTAGCCCCCTGCGGTGACAGGTCTCCCACATTTAGATAAAAGGAGGAAGCAGTATGTGGCTCTGTGGGACAAACTGCCAGAGAATGCCATTGCCTTGGTTTTAAACAGTTTAATTTCTTAGAAACATGACAGTAAAGGCTGCACTATGCACAGAGCAATGTGCTTTGGATGTGTCCCTCTTCCAAGAAAGTGAAGGCATAAGTTACTTGTCTGGGCACCCAGCATGCCCTTGTCCTCGGGGTGCCATTTTTGGTCCTTTCATGTCCCGTGGGCTGGAGACACCTGCCTCTGACCAGCACCACTCTTGACCCGGGTTATTCAGTGCACTACAGAGCCCTCCACAGCGCTGTCCTGGCCCTGCTCCCCACACGGGTAGGGAGAAGGGAGGGGTCCGGTCGGGGCTGGTGCAAGGAGGGAAGGCTCCCTGCCTTTAACCCTGACTCAGCCTACAGCTCGGCCAGAAGATGTGGAATGTGGAGCCCAGGGGATTGAGTTATTCACAGGCTCCTCATGAGGTACCTCGGCAAGAGCAGCCAAGAGGGAGGATCAGAGAGGGTGAGTGGGGCCAGCATGATGCGGTTTAGCCTCAGCGTGTACTCAGCATCTGGGTTCTCACCTACCCAGCTGCCACCACCTGCATTCCAGAGTCTTCATCCCTGGCTTGTAGCTGTCACAGACCCCACGGCCCAGGTTCCCTGGGAGGAAGGGGATCAGGGGCCCTATGGGGCCTATGTATAGGAAGGGGGTGGCCGTGACTCCAGTGAGAGGTGGGAAAGCACACCACAAAAGTCAGATCTGCTGTGCCGTGGTTCTGGAGGAAGAGGCCTGGTGGAGCACGCAGAGTGAGTTTGTATTTATAGGTATCCTCCTGGGATTCCTTCCAGAGGTGATTGTGATTACGAATTTTTAGCACCCTAGTGGTTGGTGCAGCACACGCTCTCCAGAGCCAGGGGTGGGGGACTTTTGGGGACCTTGGAGAGGTCCCTTTAAATCCCTGGGGGTCTGTTAGGTGTTCCCGCGTCCAGTAGGGTGGCTTCTCTTCACTCCTGCGTAAGGTCCACCTCAGGGCACAGGCTCCATGGCTTGAGATGAGGCCAAGTGCAAAGCCAGCTGGTGTCCACTCCGGCTCAGCAGGGCCTGCACACCGCCCAGACTGGTGTCCAGCCCATGAATCCAAGGCCTCCTCTGAGCCTCACTCCAGTGCTTTGGGGGTGGAGTCTAGGCCAGGCTCCCTCTTGCGTTTGGCACTTTTAAAGAAGCCGAGCTGTAGGGAAGCAAAAGGGGAGGCCTCAGGTGGGTCTGGTGGGTTCTTCTCCCAGCTAACCCCAGTCCTGAGGGGGCTTTCCTGAGCCCCCTAAGCATACTCCCCAAGAACTCCATTGTGGGCTAAAGCAAAGTGGGGGGAGCGTTGGGCAGGAGGCCACGTAGGTGCTGCCATCTTACTTTGTGACCTTACTACAGCTAACAACATCTCAGGGCTCAGAGACAGAGAAGACTGGTAGCCTTGCTAGCAGCCTGAAACGGCTGGAAATTGGGGCTGTTGTGTATGCTGGTGTTTTTTGTTTTTTTCTGGTAAGAGTAGCTGGTTGAGTCACAGTGTGGGTAGCCTCTGGGGTCTTAAGCAACCTACAGTTGGGGAGCAGAGTTGGGAGCAGCTGGGGCCAGCTCCCACAGGCAGAACATGGCAGTTGACACAGGGCCCCAAGGCCTGAGCGCAGACCTGGGCCACAGGATGCCGTGTCTGTTTCTGCCTGTGGGGCCCTCACCTTCCACAGTGCCAGGACCAGCAGGGAGAGCAGCAGGAACCCCCCCAGGGTGCTGCCCACGATGATCCAGATGGGGATCTGCCAGTCTTCTTGTTTGGAGATCTCCAATGTGATCTGCAAGGGGAGGAGGAGTCAGGACTGTTGTGCCAGCCTGGCTGCCCCTGATGGGAAAGCCTCATTCCTTCCAAGGGGAGCGGCAGGCTGAGGCCTCAGAGCCTGCCTCGTGGACACCTAAGTTGGGTGAGCATGCTGTCCCTGTGGATGCTTGGCCTTTGGCCTTGGCAGCCACTTGATTCTCCTACAACAGTGGCTACTCTCTTAGTTCTCTTTGCTCCTTCCTCGGCTCTCCTAGACATCTCAAGGTCAGCGTGTTGTATAGTGCAGCCCTGTCTCCTTGATTGCAGTTACTCCTGCAGTGGCATAGGTCCCAGGAGGCTCCTGGGCCTCCTGACCCTGCCCTTCTGCTTTCCAGTGCATCCTTGGGCCAGGTGGAGCTTACTCCATCTGTGAGGGATGCCAGTGTTCCTAGGACTTGGCCAGTGGGAGGCAGCAAAGACCCACACCCCTTCTGTTTCCACAGGCTAGGCTTTTTTTGTTGTTGTTGTTGGTCGTGGGGCTTGAACTCCGGGCCTGGGCGCTGTCCCTCAGCTCTTCAGCTCAAGGCGAGCACTCTACCACTTGAGCTACAGCGCCACTTCCGGTTTTCTGGTGGTTTATTGGAGATAGGAGTCTCACGGTCTTTCCTGCCCAGGCTGGCTTTGAACCGCGATCCTCAGATCTCAGTCTCCTGAGTAGCTAGGATTACAGGCGTGAGCCACCAGCACCCTGCTAGGCTTTAAGCCTTCCTGCGATCATAGGATGGTGTCTGCCTCACAGAGCGTCACAAATAGCAGACTCCTCCCACCCAGGAGGGGAGGGAAGAGAAGAGAGGGAGGAATGCTTGTTTTGGGCCTCCAGCCTTCCGGGGACTCAATCTGTGTGGGGCAATCAAGGGCCACTCAAACTCATGTGGAGCCACCTCGAGGGACACAAGCTTGGTCTCCACTTGAGCCGCTCTGCTCCTGCCCCATCCTGTGAACACAGAGGTGGGCACCCAAAGTCCTGGGGCTGACGCCTACTTCTCTCTCCAGTCCCCCCAGAGGGCCTGGTCTTGCTCTTTCTCCGTCCTCTCCTGCTGAGACACAGGGGCACACAGGGTCAGGGTCCTGCAGGAAAACTGGAAGGGAGGGGCCAGCTCTTTCTCACACCCACAGGGCCGGAGTCCAGGCTTGCAGGCATCTGCAGCGCTTACCTGACGGCTGGGGTCCTCCTCGGGGAAGATGAAGGGGCTGTGGAACTGCCGCTGCAAGACCGCATGGACCATGATCTTCAGGGACCTGTACTTGAGCTGTGTACAGTCAGATGCCGTTAGAGCGTCTTGAGAAGCCTTTGATCCTGCCCCTGCTAGGTAGCCCCAAGTGGGAGCCCCCCACAGTCACCCTGTGCCCTGGGGCCTCTACTTACTGCCTTGAGCGACCTCAGCCACAGGTTCCCTAACAGGTAGAAGCTGACTTCCTGGTTGGGAGCCAGCCTCACGTTGCAGTTGATGGAGACCACATCAGAGTTGCTATGATTCTGGAAGAGAAGACAGCGTGTGGTGAGCAGGAGCAGGGGAGGTGTCCGGTGTGCCACCAGACAAATGTCACAACATGGCTCACTGGGAGGGAGGAGGGCAGAGCACAGGGGACAAGAGAGGGAGGGGGCGGGGGTGGCATGGGCTGGGCTGCCAGAGATTGTAGGTGACAAACTATACGTGGAGCTCTCATGCTGCATTTGCGGTAGTTCTAGGAATAGACCTTTGAGTCCGTATTGAGGAATCTTTTTTTTTTTCTTTTTTGCTGGGCCTGGGGCTTGAACTGCACCCTATCACTTGACCCACAGTGCCACTTCTGGCTTTTTCTGAGTAGTTTATTGGAGATAAGAGTCTTGCCCACTTGCCTGTCCAGACTGACTTTGAACCGTGACACTCAGATCTCAGCCTACTGAGTAGCTAGGATTATAAGCATGAGCCAGCCACATTGGCTGTATTGAAGAACTTTTACATGTCATAACCATATACATATTTAGATAAGGTGGGTGTGATTACTGGGACAGATGTGAAAAAGTATTTTAGGCATTCTAGGGAGCTTCCTGAATCTGATTAAATCTGATGTGTGTATAGACACCTGATACGTTTTATGTTTATGTATGTGCACCCACATACACAAATCCATCAAGTAACAATTCTTTTAAGTGAGCTCATAATTGATCAAGACAATTTTGGTAATCATGCTATCAGTGCTCTGGAGGTCTGAGAAGACAACAAAAGCAATTTGTATTGACTGAATGAGAAAGCAATATCATAGAAACCCCAAAGGATTCTTTAAGCAATTACAACTTATGGGGACAAAGTTATTTGTATTGCTGGCTTGCTGACCATCCCAACCTTACTCAAGGCCAGATATTTCTAATATGATCAGAAAGTGCTGTGTACAAGGCACTACTTAAGGAAACTAAACAAGATTTTTTTTTTTTTCTGGGTGAGGACCAATGACTGTATGCTGAGAAACTAGTATGCAGAGATGGAAGGGATTCTGAGAAGGAAAACTTGAGACTCTGACGCTTGGTGAGGTTCTGGAGTTGGAGCAGAGCTCCATCCATTTCTAAGGAGGAGGCCCAGCTGACAGGGTAAGCCCCCGGAGCAAGATGGCTGTCCAAGCAAGGCCCTTTGGCTCTTAGGTTGGAGACACTCACCAACAGTGAGGCACGACTCAAGTCTTCCTCCATTGGGGTGGTTCGGTACTCGGTACTGTTCCCCCAGATGTTACAGGATGTGTTCACCTGCGCACACATGCACACGCACATACCAGTGAGCCTCAGGGCCAGGCCTCAAAGTGCTCCTTATCTCCTCTACCCAGACAGGCCTGGACCCCCAGTCCTGGGAATAGGGAGCCAGGGTTTGAGCATATGGGGCCTTACGTAGGAGGTGTGTCTGTCTTCTGTTGGCCCTGGGGCTTGGGTACCTGGTCGGTGAAGAAATCCCTCAGCATCAGAAGACGGTTCCCGCCCCGGGTGGCGATGGGAATGGTGATCTTCATCATCACCCCATGGATGGGGAAGAAGCCCAAGTTCTGCACCTGCACCAGAGGAGGGCGTCTGAAGGAGGGGGCAGTGAGGTAATGGGGGCGGCCAGCCCTGGCATCCCACAGCCAGTCTGGGGAACAGGCCCATGGGACATTTTCTCTGTGTGGCAACTGCGGCACTTTGCCACATCGGAGTGGAAGGATGACAATAAGAGACACTCGATGGAGGGGTTCCAGATGTGACGGGGTATCAACAGGCCCTGAGCCTGGACAGAGGGGACACTGCCGCCTTCAGTGCCCTCCTCTTGGGGACTTCAGGGAGGACAGGACTGGAGATGGAGAAAGTCATCGCCGTGGGATGAGGGTGCCATGAATCCGTGACGCTGTTGTTGTGATCGTCAAGTGGGACTGGGGACATAGCTCTGGATGCACGCGATGGCTTTGAGCAGGTCACTGGACATTTTGGACAAGCCACACAGGACCCGGAGTGTCTGCAGGCTAGTGTCAGTGTCAGCCTCACGCCACCATAGAAGGCAATCAACTCACTTCAGGGATGAGGGAGACCAAGATGGGTAAATTGCTTCCGGATTTTCATTGGTGACAGGACCAAGGCAAAAAATTCACACTTCCCAGCTCCCTTACAGCTAAGTCACAATGTTCTGAGACAACGAGAAGCAACTGGAACTATGAAGAACTGCCAGGGAGATTCTTAAAGAGGGAGGGGCATGCCCTTCTGCTCCTCCTTCTTCCTGCTGCCTGGAATAAGCATGTGATGGCTGGGGCTTCAACCCCCTTGGACTATGAGGTGAATATGAGGTTGACCATTTCATACTGAGGATGGTAGAATAAGACCCAATTTGGAACTCTGAAGCTGCTAGTCTAGATTTCTTCTAGGGAGACTGCAAGCCCTGTTATATTTAACCCTCTATGTGTTTTTTTGTTCTTAAAATGTTAAACTCTTTCCATTAAAAAAAAATGTTTAGCCTAGGGAATGACTAGGTGTGGCTGGTCCAGCCTGAGTATTTCCAGATAAGAACAGAGAGACTGAGAAAGAAGGAGATTGTTGAACGCCACACAGGAGTAGGTGGCGGGGCTGAGGCTGGACTCAGGCACTGAGATACTTCTCCAAACGGGGGCCCCGCGTGCCTGCCTTCAGCCTTACCTTGAAAACACAACTGAGAGGAGGCCCCAGGCCACCCTGTGTCTCCAGTGAGCTGTTGGCCTTGATCTCATAGTGGCTCAGGCTGCTGCTCCTGCCGAGACAGAGGACAGAGGCGTGTGAAGATGGCCACTGTGGGTGGGTGACAAATGATAGGGTTGCAGGGGGGAGGCGCGGCCCACCTGGTAAAGAGAATGTCGGCCTCATACTTGAGGTGGAAGCGGAGGAAGGCCAAGTTGTCGTCCTTGGTACTGTCCTGCTCCTCGCTGTCACTAAGGGGGAATTAGGACCTTAGAGACCGACGAGGTCCGTGCTGGTTCACCCAGGCTGACCAGCTCCACACCAGGCCAGGCGGGAGGGGGAGGCTGACGCTGGACACCAGGGCTTGCTGGAGTCAGGGAGGATGTGTGGTCATGACTTGGGAGGCTCCCACTGGGCACTGTGTCCCGGGTTGCTCTGAGTAAGCAAGGACTGGCCTGTGTGGACACTGCTACCTGGTTTGCCCAGAGCATTTACTTCTTGGCCATAGTAAGGCCCAAGAGCAGAGAGAACCCTCCTGTCTCCCTCCTTGTGCAGAGACTATGAGAAAGTCAAGTTTGTTTCCTGCAGGCCCAGAGCGCTTCACCCGTAGCAAGCTGCCTCGGAGCGGCCTAGGGACAGTCTAAGAAGAGTCCACTAAATGATGGTCAGATGCCAAGCAGAGGGAGAGACAAGGAGAGGAACAGTTCGGGTTCTGTTCCCAGGTGCACAGTTTGCAGGTTGTGGATAGTGGAGAAATCACCCAACTTCTCTGAGCCTCCTTGTTCTTATCTGTAACTTGGTGGTGGTGGTGGTGGTTAGGGGTACCCTGCTTATTGTGGGGGGATGGACCAGTGTACCCAGTCTTAGAACTGCAGCAGTTTAAGTAGCTACCTAAAGTGCCTTCAGATGACAGTAAAGGACTTAGCGCCAAGCCTCAAAGAATGAGGTGTGGTGGTGCCAGGGCAGGTGGCAGGCTGGGCACGTGGGACAGGGGCAGCTTGGTTTGTGGGTTTCTTAGGGGAGGGCAGGGCAGGGGCAGCAGTGAGTGGCTTTGGGCAGGGTGGGCGCAGGCTCCTGACCTGCCGGAGCCCAGCTGGACATGCAGGTGTTGCAGGAAGACGGACTTGCTGAATTCGAAGTCCAGACGGAAGGCTACCTGCAAGGAAGCAGGAGCCTGAGCTGGAGGTGCAGGGGGTGGGCGTTGTCTGGGCCCTGCCTGGCATCCTGTCCCTTTCCCAGGTGTCGTCCTAGCTGGGAATGGCAAAGAGCGGACTGGGAAGAGAAGAGGGGAGCTGGGGCTGTCCAGAGCAAAACCCACAGCTGTGCCACAGGGGGCAAAAGGCACAGCACCCTCTCCTTCTTTGATAGAAAGCTGGGACCCAGCCAAAAGGGTGGGGCCCCCTCACCATGGCCTTGTCTTGTCTGACCCTTCTCTGGCCTCATATGTTTTTGTTTTTGCCAGTCCTGGGGCTTGAACTCAGGGCCTGGGCACTTGTCCCTGAGCTTCTTTTGTTCAAGGCTAGCCCTCTACCACGTGAGCCACAGCACCACGTCCGGCCTTTTCTGTGTATGAGGTACTAAGGAATCGATGGGCTGGGAAGGTGGCTCAGTGGTAGAGCGCTTGCCTTGCATGCATGAGGCCCAGGATTCGATTCCTCAGCACCACATAAAAAGAAAAAAGCCGGAAGTGGTGCTGTGGCTCAAGTGGTAGAGTGCTAGCCTTGAGCTGAAGAGCTGAGGGACAGCGCCCAGGCCCAGAGTTCAGCCCCCACAACCGACAAAAAAAAAAAAAAAAAAAAAAAGGAATCGAACCCAGGGCTTCATGCATGCTAGGCAAACACTCTATCACTAGGCGACCTTCCCAGCCTCTCTGACCCCATTTGGGCGTCCCCCAGGGACTGGGGTAAATGGGAAGTTTGTGCATTGAATTTAACCTCACTTGGGGACCTTCCTTCCCCGGGAGCCCTAATTCTGCCCTCCCCCCATTTCCCTCCCCTTCCCAGCCTGTAGGCTGCTCTCCAGCTGGCACCCCTCAGATAGGTCCCCATTTACAATGAGGTCTTTTGGTTGATGGTGGAGCACCCCCCCACCCCCAGTCTGCCTGCCTCTCCGTCCTGCTACCTTGCTGGGCCTTCCACCTGCACCTCTAAGTCCGGGGCAGGCAGGAGCTCAGGAGGATACGCGTGAGGATGAAGGATGGCATGGATGGCCCAAGGCGCTGGGAGAGGAGCCGGGTAGGGTGGAAAGCGGTGCCTGAGGTAAAGGGGCCAGTGCCTGGAGCCTCTTCTGCGGGTTCCTCGCTCTCTGTGCTCTTGGCTTCCTGCCTCTCCCCACCCCGCCTGACGGCTCACCTTGGCCTTGGCCCTGAAGAAGGGGTAACTGACATTGCAGACTTTCTTGTGCAGGCGTCTCTCCTCGTTCACACACTCGATGCTGCCGTCGGAGTCGTCCTGAGGGTGAGGACATAGAGGTAGCCGTGAGGGAGGGCCGGGGGTCAAGGTGTACAGCCCCCTCCCCGCAGTAGCCCCTTTCCACGGAGAACATCCCTCCCCACCACTGATCCCTGGAGCACGCTTGGAGCACTGGCCTGCACTTAGCTGGGAGCACTCTCCTCCCTCCCCCAGGCCTGGGTTCCCCGTTCAGGTGTGACACAGGGTGCGTCCACCATAGCTGCCACGGGCAGGGCTCGGGTGCTGGGCTTGTATGCACATGGTAGGCAAGGTGTTTCCCGTGGCCCAGGAACCGGAAGTTCCTCACTCAGACTGGGGACAGTAGAGGACTGGGATTTGCTTTGTCCACCTAAGGGCTGGGCAGTCTTGAGCCCCTGCAGCCCTGCTTCCCTCTGGTTCTCTATAGCTGCACAGACGGACAGCTTTCCTTCAGGGCTGCAAAGGCTTCTTGCAGCTATGAATGAGCTATGAGGTCTCACAGTCCAGAAAAACAACGAGCACGCTGCGGGCCAACCTCAGGTCTGACTGGTGGTAGTTTTTTGTGGCTCTGTGGTTAGACCATGGTCAGGCGCTCGCACTGGCTGATGGGGATGAGCCTGCGTCAATCCTTTCCACCTGTTCTCTTTCCAGACTGACAACAAGTAGCTCCTGGCTGTCAGTCCAGAGCACAAAAGGTGACAGCTGGCCTGCCTGGCCTGGGTGTCCCCTGCACACAGGTACACAGGGAAGAGACTCTGGGCTCTAGCTTGATGTGGTGTGTGTGTGGGGAGGGGCGGGGGTTGTCTGAATCTTTTCTTGCTAAGGGGACAGGGCCACGCGCTTCTGTAGCCATCATGAGAGATGGGTGCTAGCAGAGTGTGGGCGTTAAGGCCCAGAATATGCAAGGCACTGACCCCTGGTGGTTCCTGTTGGTGATGATTTGTTCCTATTATGGTTCTGTCCAGGAGGCATTGTCCAGGTGTGTGTGCGTGTGCATGCATGTGTGTACATGTATGCATGCGTGTATACCCATGTGCTTGTACTTGTGGGTGCGTGTGTGTGCTTTTGGATGTGCACGTGCAAGCTGTCTGGGCAGGCTGTGTGTGAGGTTTGCACTGGATCAGGGCACAAGTATGATGCATGCTTGCAGGTGTGTGCATTTCCCTGGCTGTCTGTGTGGCTCGTGTGCTCATCTGCAACAAGCAGACTCAACTTTTCTACCTGGCTGAGCTTCTGAGCAAGCTCCTGCAGGCAGGGCTGGGTGGGTGGCCTTTGGGGGGAGGCGGCTCCTGCTAGCCTGCTTCCCCTGGCCTTGGTCACAATGTTCCATAGAGCATCTTACTTCTATACCCCCAGTTATTTGCAAAGCCCTTTCTGGTCACCACCAGCTATAAGCAGGCATAGGCTGGCAGTGAGGCCTGGGGCAGGGGAGAGGGAAGATTGGTACAGGTGGGGGCCCCCTGTGGACCCCAAACCCAGACAGACAGTCTCTGGACAAGAGAGGGCCTTGGCCTTCTCCGAAGGGCTACTTCTCCCACTCTGGGCAGAGATGGGGGTATTGCTGCCCCAGATCAGGGCTTGATGGATCACACTGCCACAGGCCTCATTCAGGCAGCCTCAGGCCGTTGAGGCCTGTTTGAGGGTGTGGGGCCACTGCAGGGTGGGCAGTAGGGGACTCTGGCTTTGCTTGGTTGCATTTCCTGTGTGTGGGGCTGGGGAGAGGTCCACGTGGCCTCGGTCCCAGTCAGTGTGGGGGCTTGGAAAGCGAGTGGCGGCAGCGGGCATTTCCCCTGCCCTCAAAGACCTGAACGCCCCATGCCTGAGGCTCACCTCCGACTGCCCACCGAGGACCTCCATAGCGCCAGTACTGCCCGGTGCCAGGACTCACCCCGGACCGCACAGAGCATCCCCAGAGGAGGAGGCGGGATGTGGGTGGCTCTCTCCCTGGCCTGCACCTTTTCGTCCCTCTTCTACCCTGGGCCACCACGCTCTCACCTTCTGGATCAAGCTGGCGAACTGCAGGTTTGCAGACTGGGAGATGTTAAGGATGGTGTTGTAGGCGTTCTCCCCCCGGTTCTCCAGCGTGGCCTCCACGGCCACGCGCCGCCGCGTGCTCTCCACGATGAACACGGTGGTGTCGAAGGACAGCGTGTACGTGGAGCAGTCCTGCGCAGACCTCTTCAGAACCCGCTCACAGTACTCCCTGTGGGAGAGACGACCGGGGATCAGGCAGGCGGAATGGGACGGGAAGGATGGAGCCACAGGGTGCGTGCAGAATGATGGGAATGGGGCTCTGCCAATCTGGGAGTGATCACTAGACAAGAAGGAAAATGGGCTGGGCGCCGGTGGCTCATGCCTGTCATCCTAGCTACTCAGGAGGCTGAGATCTGAAGATCACAGTTCAAAGCCAGCCCAGGCAGAAAAATCTGTGAGACTCTTATTTCCAATAAACCACTAGAAAACCAGAAGTGGTGCTGTGGCTCAAGCGGTAGAGTGCTTGACTTGAGCTGAAGAGCTCAGGGACAGCACCCAAGCCCAGAGTTCAAGCCCCACGACTGACAAAAGAGAGGGGGGGGGATGGACTACAGGCTGGAGGAGAGCTCTTAGTTCAACTCCCTAGACATAGGTCATCTTTTCACTAGCCCCGCTTCCCTTTTAGCTTTGCCTGCCAGAAAGCTCAGAACTAAATGTAGAGGTGATGCTGATGACTAGCTTAGATGGTTACATGACTGGCTTCTTCATCTTTTGGTGAGGTTCAGCTATGCTATTTAAATGTGTAGTCTATGTTGTGGTACTCATAGTTTGCCTAAATCATCTCACAGTTAGCAAAAAGTTGACCAAAAAAGTGTGGCAATATTTATTATACCAATTTAAAATTGGATTGTTTGCCTTGTGTACTAACTTGTAGCTTAATGCAGCCTTTGCATCCTTCCTTCTTTCTTTCTTTTTTCTTTCCTTCCTTCCTTCCTTTCTTCTTTTTTGGGTCTGGTTGGGGGCTTGAACTCTGGGCCTGAGCGCTGTCCCTCAGCAATTCAGCTAGCGCTCTACCACTTGAGCCACAGCACCACTTCTGGCTTTTTTCTTATGTGGTGCTAAGGAATCGAACCCAGGGCCTCATGCATGCAAGGCAAGTGCTCTACCACTGAGCCACCTTCTCAGCCCCTTTTTTCCTTCCTTCCTTTCTTTCTTTCCTCCCTCCCTCCCTCCCTCCCTCCCTCCTTCCTTCTTTCTTTTTTTTTGGCCAGTCTTGGGACTTGAACTCAGGGCCTGGGCACTGTCCCTGAGCTTCTTTTGCTCAAGGCTAGCACTTTATCACTTGAGCCACAGCACCACTTGTGGCTTTTCTGTGTATGTGGTACTGAGGAATGGAACCCAGGGCTTCATGCATGTTAGGCAAGCACTCTACTGCTAAGCCACCTCCCAGCCCTCTGCATCTTTATTCTATAGAGAGGTCAGAAAGCCCAGGGGTTCAGCCGATGACCTCTATGGAGACTTTGACTGGGGGTTAGACACCAGCACCCCAAACCAGGATCCCTGTCTCTACTCTGCACATCTTTTGTAGTTTAGGTTCCAAAGGAAGAACTCCTCCCTTTCACTTTGACAGTCAGTAACTGAGGCTGGGCACGGGTACTTGCCTGAGCTCACGTAGGAGGTGGAAGCGGAGCCCAGGCTAGAACCCAGGCTCCAGGTTCAGTACCTGATCCACACTGCCTACAAGCAAGGTGTGTGATAGCCATCAGGGCCTGGGAACCCTAGAGCAGCGGGGAGGGGTGGATGTTGGGGAGCAGCAACGTACATGGCCGTGGGCAGGTCGCTCCGGGCGTCCAGCACGAGGTCAGGAACGCAGTGTTCATCCTCATTGCAGCCATTCCAGAAAGGCACCTGGGCCAATTAGAGCCAGCAGTGGGTGGTGGAGAAGAGGTCACGGCCTCCAGTCCTAGCCTTTGCTGTAGGTCCTTGAGCTTAATGCACACTGGCCTTTGCCCCTGAACTGCTGACAGGGCTCTGCTTGCCCTGCCCTTTCTCTGGACTGCTCCTCTCAATTGCCCTCACTGCAGATTCTCTACCTTCCAAGACTTGGTGCAAAGCTTAGCTCCTCTTGGCCCCGGTGGGTGTAATCCAGCTGGTATGGGCAGAGTGTTTAGTGCTGAGAATACAGGGTGAGGAAGGCAGAGCATCTGCCCTCAGCCCACGGGGAAAGACTGGCACGTGAACAGGGAACCGCAGCGTGAAGTGTGCAGAGAACCAAACAGAGTAGAAACATAAGAAACAGAGGCGGAGCCGAGCGTCAGTGGCTCACACCTATAATCCTAGCTACTCAGAAGGCTGAGATCTGAGGATCGCAGTTCAAAGCCAGCCTGGGCAGGAAAGTCCGTGAGACTCTTATCTCCAGTGAGCCACCAGAAAACTAGAAGTGGCGCTGTGGCTCAAGTGGTAGAGCGCTAGCCTTGAGCTGAAGAGCTGAGGGACAGCACCCAGGTCCAGAGTTCAAGCCCCACGACCGACAAAATAAAAGAAAAAAAAAAGAAATAGAGGTGGAGAGGAGAAATGGACCTTTAGGCTGTGGGTGGTCTGAGAGGGCTTCCAGGAAGAGGTAGTAGATGGAGGATGAATGAGTTCACTAGCCAGCCCGAGAAGCTGGAAGGATGGGCCAGTCACAAAGGTCCTGGGGTGAATATAGCCTGCTGGGCGTGGGAAGTAATTGGTAGTTCAGTGTGGAACTATAGAAAGGGACTTGGGTGGAGGAGAGAAGAGAGAAGCTGGGGCCAGGGGTCACCAAGGGCTTCAGGCATGGGGAGCCCCTCAGACATCAGACATGGGGGTTTAGGAGTCTGAAAGCAATGCAATAACCTTCAGAAATCCTGGCCAGAGGAGACTGGGGGGGGGGAGGAGGGGGAGGGGGAAGGGCCTGGTGGTAGTAGCTTTGGGCATGGCTGACAGAGGTAGAGGATTAGAGATTGGGAGAGGAGGCTGGGTGAGAGGAGGCCAGGAAAAGAGGCTGCCATTGCACCTGTGATCCTTTTGCCAAATCCAAGCAACAGCTCGTGCAATTCTGGAACCACGTGTTTACTCAGTGGCCCTCAGAGACGTCGCTCAGTGACTGGACCCCAAGGCTGGGGCTCACGCATGCTCTGATGCATTGATTTGGGAAGTCATTTCAATGTGTATTATTTCATCTCAAAACCACTTTCTAACCCTCAGCTGGCAGACACTGTTCCACAGCGCTCGCCTGCCCTCCCAGCTTCAGACACAATTGACAGTTGCCTGGCCTTTTCACGTAGCTACAGGGTGCATCGGGTGTCAGGAAACAGACTCCGGGTGCCCAGAGCCCAAGCTAAAAATGTGTGGTTGGGTGGGGCTGGCGAGAGGCTAAAACTTTCTTTGGGAATGGCTCGGAGCAGACTGAGGGGGGTCTGCTGGTCACCAAACATGCAGAAGGCCAGGCTCTAAGTGGTCTCATGTCCACATCTATTCATAAAGTGGGGGGCAGGAGATTAAGAACGCAGGGCCCTATGGTCTTGGGACTCCACGTCAAGGCTATAGGGATGAGAAATGCCTGGTTCTAGCCTGGGGCACTGTGTGTGCATGCACGTGTTTGTCTCTGTGCACATGTGTGCATGTACTTGTGTGCACAGCATGAACACACACACATGTGCATGTGTGTTTATGAATGTGCATGCACACCTGTAGTGTGAATGTGTGCACGCACGCATGCATGCGTGTGTGTCTGTCTGTCTGTCGGGACAGGAGGCCTGGTGGTGGGATGAGGTGTGTGCTGGAATGTACCAGGCCATACCGAGACTCTGAGTGTGGTGGGCCAGCCGTCGTCCAGCATAGGGCCATGGTCAGGGTCTTCTAGCACATACTCGACTGAGAAGGCCACCGGCTTCACGTAGTCGGCAGTGTCCTGTGGGCCAGAGGAGGACAGGGCTTCAGAGAGCACCATTTCCTGGGCCCAGTCACCATGAGGTCTCCTTTGAACTAGGAGAGGCTGTGGCCTTGTCTCCCTCAGTCTGTCATGGGGTGGAGGGTGGGGGACAGAGGCTTCTATCCAGGTCTGCAGGTGCAAAGTGTAGGGGCTATGACTCAGCCTGTGCCAGCTCAGTTACCTGGAGGTTTCATGAAGCAACGACTCACCCTTCACCCCCTCAAGCAGCCTATGTCTTCAGCCCATGCCTGCTTGTCTGCCCTTCTAATCCAGGGCTCCACTAGGGCCCTGCTCTTTCCTTATACCTGTTCAATCCAGCTCTCTCCTGGACCTCACCTGGCACTAAGGAAGCCATGGGGAGGGAGGGTCAGGTGGTTATCCTCAAGGACATTACTCCAGGGCCTGAGGTGGGCTGGGGAGGGGCAAGGTCATGAACACTGGCCCCTAGCTCTTCTCCCAGGGTCTGAATGTGCCTGGCACACCCCCCCTCCTACAGCAGCTTCTCCTCTAGTTCTGTGTCTCCCTTCCCCTTCCCCCCACCAATGTAGGTGCCTAGACCCTGCTGATGGAGCCAGGCTCACCAGGACGTGGAAGTTAATGCGTTGACAGTGCTCCTGGCCAGAGGACAGCAGGACAGCCCGGTTGGTGAACTGGTCCCCTCCCTCATCCAGGTGAGCCCTTGGCATGTACCGCCTCTCGTCCATAGTGGCATTGTACCTGATGCCTGGGGAAGAGAGGGTAAGACTAGGCAGCTGGAGCCTCGATCCCACCCAAAACCACTTGCTGCTCTTATAAAACAGCCACTTCCCCTAGACAGGAGCAGACTTTCCCCCTCCACAGGCCCGAAGCTTCCCCGAGGGGGGCTGTGGCTGTGTTCGGGTAAGGAGGAAGGGACTGAAGAGGGCAGGGAGGCAGAGGAGGAGAGAAGAAGATGCACCAGAGAGGAAGAAAAGAGGGAGCCAGATACCAGTCGCTCACACCTATCATCCTAGCAACTCAGGAGGCTGAGATCTGAGGCTTGCGGTTCAAAGCCAGCCCTGGGTAGGAAAGTCCATGAGATTCTTATCTCCAAAGAACCACCAGAAAATCAGAAGTGGTGTTGTGGTTCAAAGTGGTAGAGCGCTGGCCCTGAGTGGAAAAATCTCAGGGATGGCACCGAGGTCCTGAGTTCAAGCCTCATGACTGACAAAACAGAAAAAGAAAAAAAAGAAAAAGAGGAGAAAAAGAGGAGGAAACATCAACACCCATAGAAGAAGAGGAGCCAGGGTGAGGGCCTGGAATGCTCAGCCTGCTGGAAGTTCCCTCTCTACTCTCCTCCCCACGCCATGCTCTGGGGTCTCCCTGGGCTGGTTGGGCCCCTCTGTGTAGGGGTGGGTGGGACTTTGCCCCTAGGAGAACTCCTTAGACTTCTGACTCTACTCTGGGGTTTAAGGCCTAAAGCTTCCTCGACCCTAATCCAGCAGAATATCTTGCCAACCTTCGGACCCCCTGGCTGTCCCTGTCCTCAAATCCCCCTTTCCTTTTTCAGATGAAACTCGAAGGAGGGCACAGTGGCCTGGGATTTCCCAGGTCTCTTCCATGAGACCCTTTCCCTCCCCTCCTGGTCCTGTGCCTTGGCTGAAAGCTACATGCTACTCCTCTTCCTGTGTCAGCCCAGCAGGACCTGGACATGCAGCCTTGGCTTTCAGGCCCTAGCTGTAGGGGGAAGGATGGGCATCAGAAGAAAACCACCCTGCCTGAGCCCACACTCCCAGCTGGGGGGTAACCATGGCCTGTGTGTCTGGCCCTGGCTCCTAGCTGCCCCCTGTCAGCTAGCTCTGTCTTCTTCTATAACCAGGCCAACTCCTCTGGCTTCTGTGCTACCCTGCCTCCAATCCTGTGCCCAAACTGCACCCAGACTAGCTCCTTCCCATCATCTCTAAGGGCAGGGGGAGAATCATCCCTGCTTGCTGCCACCCTGGCAATGTCACACGTCCTCTGGGTTGGGGAGGGGGTGGGGAAGAGAGAGTGTCAAAGCTGGCTCTAAGTGCGACCTGGCACTTACAAAGCCCAGGCTGTGGCAAACAGCCATCTGAAAGACTGGGGAGACAGATCTGGGGGTGGGGACGCAGGGGCCTGCCTTACCTACAGTTGCTGCTGGGAAATGGGGTGCCAGGAAGACAGGTGTGAAGCAGAGGAAGGCAGCCAGGCAGGTGGCATCCCTGCCACTGCGCTTGCAGTCTTTGTGGAAGATGTTGATCTTGGATGGCTCAAAGTAGAGGCTGGCGTTGATCTGCACCACAGGCCTGGCCCTGGAGGAGAGGACCGGTGAGATGGGGTGGGGTAGGGCTAGGGGGACAGGAGAGCTGGAGGGAGGCTAGGGGGGAGAGGTAGATATTCTAGTGAACAAGGGGGAAAGGTAAATATTCAGCAGGGGGGCAGAGGAACCTTGGCTATTGCTGATTGGACCAAAACCCATGGACAGGTGGGGCTTAACAGCCTCCTAGCCCCAGAGCTGTGTCTGCTGTGAGCCCCGCTGACCTCCCCTTGCCCCTCATCACCGTTCAATGCAAGGTTTCCAGCCCTGAATGAGTCTCAACGCCCAGGCTGGACCCTAGGACCAATGCCAATAGGCATGGCTATGTTTTGCTTTTTTGTTTTTAAATCTAAAAGTAGTCAACATACAGCAGGGCCGCGGGCCTCTAGGAAGTGCTCTGGGGAGGGATCTGAGGCCAGAAGGGCTGGGGAACAAAGCCCCACATCACACACACCCCTCCCTCAAGGGAGAAGGAAGACGTTTCTGCCTAAGACACTGGCAACTTGACCCATTAGAACCTCAAGAGGGAGGAACTTCTGAAAAGCCAAAGATTTTAGGACAGATGCTAGGACAAGAGAAGGGCCCTTCCTTCCTTCCTTCCTTCCTTCCTTCCTTTCTTCCTTATTATTTTGGTTGCCTTGGGGCTTGAACTCTGGGCCTGGGCGCTGTCCCTCAGCTCTTCAGCTCAAGGTGAGTGCTCTCCCACTTGAGCCACAGTGCGACTTCCGGTTTTCTGGTGATTAATTGGAGATAAGAGTCTCACAGACTTTCCTGCCTGGACTGTCCCTCAGCTCTTCAGCTCAAGGCTAGCGCTCTACCACTTGAGCCACAGCGCCACTTCCGGCTTTTTTCTTTTTGCTTATGTGGTGCTGAGGAATCGAACCCAGGGCCTCTGGCATGCAAGGCAAGTGCTCTACCACTGTAGCTTTGAACTGTGATCCTCAGATCTCAGCCTCCTGAGTAGCTAGGATTATAGGCATGAGCCACCGACACCTAGCAAAAGAGGAGCTTTCGCATGCCAGGTTTGTCTGAAGTCAAGAGATACATCAAGAAGAGGGGTAGGGGTTTGGATCCCAAGAAAGCTTACATGGATTCCAAAACAAGGAGACTGGTAGTCAGCTGGGGTAGGAGCAGGGTGTGTTTGGCCAGCAGGGAGTTGTTACAAAGACCCTAGGGAATGTCCTTCACCCCTCTATGCACTGAACCCCAGGAGAACCGGGAGGAGCCAGGGAACTGACCACAAAATGACCGCGCTTCCCAGGGCGCCCACAGCCAGGTCCACCAGTCCATCCTCATTGAGGTCTAGTTGCCCATGGACACTGCAGCCGAAGAACTGGAGGCCTGGGGCCAGCTCTGATGCGGCGATTCTCTGAGAGAAAGCAAAGGCAGAGTGTTCACTGTGGGTGTGGGCCAGGCTGGGCGGCAGCTCTAGGCAGCAGACCCCACAAGGGGTGCTGGGGTGGGGGGTGGGAGGGGAGTCAGCCCCGGTCCATGGTGGTCTCTGCCCTGGCCTGTTACAGCACTGGAAACTCCTCCTGCTTAGAGGCATGCTTCTGAGTTACAATATTGTCTTGAAAAGTTTCCATACTGCGTGTCAGGATACATCACAGGCAATCCATGCGCACCTCAAACTTCAGGATGGTTACATGTTATAGTAAATGCGCAGGTCACCCTGGCTGGGGACTGCGGCTGGGCTGGTAGCCAGATGCATTTCCAGCAAAGCCTTTTGCTTAGGCTTGAGCTCTCTACCTGCCGTCAACTATGTGAAAACATGGTAGAGGAGCAGGGCATGGTGCCTGGGTGGGTCCTTGTGTGGATGGGAAGATCAGGAGATGCAACTTGCCCAAGGTGAGGTTTGACTTGAGGTGGGCACAGCTGTGGACACACCTGCTCCGTGAGCACACCTGAGCCTTGTGAACACGCCAGTGCTACTCTGCACAGTCCCCTGCTTCCACCCCCACCCCCAGGCCTCACCTGCTTGGGCCTCTTCAGAATGCTGCCTGGGCAGCCGTGGAAGATGTAGACGGCCCCTCTGTGGTTATCCTCCAGCGGGGCCCCCACTACCACGTCATTGTATGAGTCTTGATTGAGGTCTCGGACAGCGGCGATGGATGAGCCAAACCGGGCGTTCTGGTAGCTGTAGGAATCCTTCAGAGTTCCATTATAGACAAACCGGCCCTGCAAACCCAAGGCCGCATGCAGAAGGGCTCAGGGCCAGGCACAGACCTTCAGGGCCACAACTCCCTGCATCTGTACCCAGGGCCCTGCCTATATGTGTCCCTTCTCCAGGACACTGGTGACGCAAGCCCAGAGTCAGACAGGACTCTAATCCCCTCCCCTCCCCTGCCCCAAGGTCCAACTCCTGGTGGCACCAGCTGCTCTTGGTACCCCAAGTCAAAGCCATGGCTGGTAACACCTGTCCCAGGCTGTAGATGTACACCCTGCTGTGTGCAGGGCCCTGTGATACCTGTCTCCGGTTGTGATATACACCTTGCTGCACTCACAGCTCTGCAATACCTGTCTCAGGTTGTAGATGTACACCTTGCCACGCTCATGGCCCTCGCTGAAGTACATTGGGGCGCCCACCAGCAGGACGTCCGTCACATTGTCGTCGTCGATGTCCACTGATGTGATCTCACTCCCGAAGTAGGAGCCTATCTGTGGCACACAGGGGAGAAGGGGAGAGTTGAGGCCACCCACTTCCCCTGCGGAGCTACCAAAGCAACTTCTGATCTCTGTTTCACCCCAATGCCTTATCTGAGCTTCCTACTCATGACTGACCCACACCGGCCCAGCAACAGGCTGGCTGCCAACCAAATCACAGTGTTGTCCACTGCTTTCTGGTGGCCCCTTGGCCTTCTGCGGTGAATGCAACACTTTGGGCAGCATGAAGGGGCCTGAGGGGTGTCTGTCTGTGTGCATCCTGGGGCCTGACAGCCTACACTCTGGCACACCCCAGAAAGGGATGGTGGGCAGTAGCTGGGATCTGGACAGCACCCCAGAGAAGAGAGGTCCAGGGGGAGAAATTCAAGCTTCACCTGCTACAACAGGGCCAAGGCCCAGACCACGGCTGTCAGGTGGACCACACTGTCAGGTGCTGATGTGTGTGAGCAGATGACACATGATATACATGATATACGATATGTGTCAGGTGACGATGGAATGAGACCCCACTCAAGGAGAGCACTGGAGGTCCTGAGGTTTCTTATGGAGGGTACCAGCCTGAGACACCTTCCTGCTGCCTACCCTGTGTGCCACCTGGGCCTTGGCCTTCCCACAACAGCCTCCCTTCCTTTACCTGCTCGCCCCGCAGAGCCTGGTGGATGGTAAGGCTGCGGTTGTTGTGCATGGTGAACAGGATGACTTTGCCCGTGTGGTTGAACCGGGGGGCTCCTGCCACGTATACCCGGCCCTGCCTGGAGGACACGATGGATGTCACTGTGTACCCTGCCACGAGAGGAAACAGAGAGGTGTCTCTGTGTTCCCTGACATGAGAGGACACAGGTAGATGTCACCTTGTACCCTAGCACAAGAGAACACGGGTTGGTCCGTGTGCTGGCTTCTACCCTGGGCCCTGTGTGGGTTTGGCAAGTCCCCTTGTGAACAGGGCTTTGTGAGGAGAAGGTGGGTTCTGGCTCAGCTGGTACTTATTCCTGTAAGGGTCACCATACTGTGGCCCAGGCTGGAATCAAAGCCACAGTTGAGAGTCTAGCAGCCCCAGCGGAGACGGACTTCAGCTATGGGGGTAGCATGGCACTGATTCTGCCTATCATGGAGAGTTTATCTTGCTGGTGGTGCTGGAGAGGAGCCGGCCCTGACCCATACTCAGGCCTGGGACTGTCCTACAGGACTGTGCCCATCAGCTAGTGTAGACTCCTCTCAGCCTGAGCGTGCACGGGGTCCTGTGCCCCAGGGCCTCCTCTCCCTCCGCTACCCACTGCCTCACCCAGGTAGGCGCCGTGGTTCTTCAGCTCCTCAGGGAACTCCTTCAGGTAGGCCTCTCGGAGAGGGATGACCTTGCCACCGCTCATCTCCTTCAGCACAGCCCCATTCCAGTCGTAGGCGCCGACCGCTCCCAGCAGAACCCCATCCTGGCACGGGGAGGGGACCCAATCAGACCCTGCTCCAGAGCCGTCCCAGGTCCTGTGAGCAGTGCAACACTGCCTGGCGTGGAGGGCATCGTTCCCAGGGGTCACGTGCCAAAGACCTCACTCCCCATGGGCTCTCGGGTGAGAAGGAGTCTCAGATTTGACTTTCCTTCCGATCCTCAGTGCAGAATGGTTCAAGGGAGTTTAGAAAAGAAGCAACGTTCTAGAAATGAACTCGAAGCCACGAGAGAGACCTCACTCCTCTCTGGGCTTCCAAACCCTTCTAGGGTCCCCTCTTGTCACCTCTTGATCTACCCACCAGATGCAGGGCCAGGTGGTTGTATCCCCTGCCTGACAGGGAAGCAGGAAGCTCAGCTAGGGAGGGGAAGGTTTCGTGTTTCCGACTTTATGCTCCATTCCTGGGAGCTGGGCCCTGCTTTCCACTCCCTGAGCCCTGCTCATCCAGCACAAACCATCTATATAGTTGTGGGCACAGGGCCCTGAGGGGCATTGGAAAGAGGACAATTTATCAGAGGCCAGATGGCCAGGAAGCCCCTTTCCTTTGTGATTTGGGGGTGAGGGCAGCTGCCCACCTTTCTCTCCACTCAGCTCTTTGTGAGCTGGCCCGCTGAGGGTGTTCATGGTTCCTTTGTTGTTGCAGATGCAAAGGGTTAAACCTGTCGGTGCTCCAGGGTCAGGTCTGATGGTTCAGACAGGCTTTTGCAACCATCAATAAGCCGGCCTTGGGAGAATTGGAGGCTTGGTTATGTTTAGCACTGCGCTGCCTAATTACCCTGCACGTGGGAGGCTCGGACAGGGCCCTGACAGGATTTGGGCTGGGGCCTCCCTCATCCCGAGGTCTAGTCACTGCCAACATCCCTGGCACCCCGTTCATGAGGACTGTGTTCTCATCTGGCCCCCCATGGGGACCCACGAAAGCCCTGTGAGAAGACACACTGTTCATGATATGAAATATGAGACACCAGTGGCTGAGGTTCGGAGAGGAGAAGGGACACAGACAGCTAGAGGCAGGGCTGTGCCAACAAGGTGTGTGGAGGAGGAGAATATCCGAGAGTTCTCCTGGGTCCAGTTTTCCATCGAGCTCTCTCTGGAAAGAGTCCATTATTCCGGATCTGGCTTCCCCTCCTCTGTGTGCAGACAGCCTGGGGAGGGGCTCTGGAAGACGAGCTTCCATGAGAGGCTGCCCCTGAACTCAGTGCTGCACTGAGCAGGGCGGGAGGTGGCTCCTGGCTCTCTCTGGGTTTGGAGTTCAGGAGTTTCTGCAGGGACTGCCATTCTGGCAGTTATGAGCCAGGGGGCGCTCTAGGCTCTTGCTGCCCCTGTAACCGGGCAGCAGCTAGGCCTTGGACCAGGATAGAAGAGTGACCCTGAGAGTTTGGGGGCAGGGAGACTCTGGCCAAGAGGGGGGCCGTGGGGAGGGCACGGGAAGACCCCCCACGGCAGATCTCGGATAAGACCTCACCCACTCTGCAGAGCCTTGATGGGGAGGAGCAGCGTTCCCAGCTTTGCAGGCCCCATGTAGGTCCCCATATTTGTGGCATCCTGGACACCCCAGGTCTGTGGTCTGGGCTCCGTGTACTCAGAAGGCCTTGGCCAGTCCTGGCAGAACACAAGTCACTGCCTGATCTCATGCCAGCCCGGGAACGGGGGGAGAGGGGGGCTCTTCCTTCTCTGTGCCTGGCTCTTCATCCTCCAGGTGTTGCTCAAGGAGGCCAGGTCTCTGATTCCTGTGCCCAGCACAGAGAAAGCATGGAAAAGATAAATGGAGCCAACTATCTCAACCAGAGTCACCATCACGGCCTTCAGGGCTCCTCTGAGCAGTGCTCTGCTGAGATGCTGATAGTCTATGACATGTGCATCTTGCTGTGTTCCGGCCAGTGGCCCTGACGTAGCCCAGATGTAACTCAGGAAGATCTGAGCGAGTGTCGTGCTTCGGCCCATCTGCCTGCTGCCTGGTGTGTGGTGCCCGCTTCCCTCCAATCTGGGCTTTCTGAGTCAGACCCCCTGAGAGCCTCTGTGCTCTACAGACCAGTTGTGGAATGGAGGAGGGCACTGGCGTTTTTCTTATTAGTTTCGCTGTAGCAGAACACGTGCCTCTCTGAGACTCAACTTCTCTGTCTGTGAACTGGGAACAAGGAATCCTGCCCCCATCACAGAAGCGCTGGGAGTCGGGGATCATGGGACAAGGAACTGGCACAAACTAGCAAATGAACAGAGCATATTCCCGGAGTGCCAGCCTGAGGAGTGAGCATGCACACACGTGCACATGTGTGTACAATGCAGCACGCATGACACACCACACAAACATATACAGATGCACACACACAGTGCACATGTGTGTCCACACACAGGGTGCCTGTTTCTCCCAGACACATATCGTGGGCATATTTCCCATGTAGGACTTTAGGTCAGACTTTACTATATTTGTGAAGTGTTTCAGGACATCAACTCTGCTCTCTGGTAATTGCAGGAGGCTTCAGACCAGCCCCCGTCCCCGGCACCCCAGGCAGCTGCCCCAATGCACAGCTGCCAGAACTATCAGGCCTGTGGTCAGCATTGGCACCCGACTCTGTTCTCGAACAAGATACCATGGGCGGAATGGGACCCTTGGTCCTAGGGAGAAATGTTCCCAGCACCCTACAGATATAGTGTGCTGATTCCATACAGTGAGCTTGATTTGGGCAAGCGATGGAGACAATAGAAGTTGAAGATCTCTTCCTGGCCCAGAAGGTTCTAGGAAGCAGAGAGACTCCAAGAAAAAGGGATAAAGAGATGGATGCTCCCGGAAAAGCCTGAGAGGTTGGAAGGGTAGGAAGTGTGTGCAGGGGGGACGGAGGGAGGCCAGCGCCATCCATACCTCCACCACATGCGAGGAGAAGCCGGTCTGTGACATCTCCAGCCCGAAGGACGTTTCATTCTTGTTGGTGCCTGGGACAAGAACAGAGGGAGGTCAGCCCAGTTCTGCATGCCTCACCTCGCACCGCACCGTAGCTCCTTCTCCATAGGCGGCGGTGGGGGCTGGGGTGGCGTGGTCACTGCCACAGCGCCACGCCCCTCCCAGCACCTCCGTGGGCATGGCGGGGGGGGGGGGACAAGTCAGGTCACAGGTGTGCTTGCTGAAAACGATTTAAAGGGAAAGAATTGAGAAAGGGCAATAGACACACTGTGTGTGTGTGTGTGTGTGTGTGTGTGTGTGTGTGTGTACAGGAAGTGGAATTTCCCACTTTCTCCATGCCTATTCAACACAGGTTTGGTTCCAGACACCTTTGGGCAGTTCCAACTCATTACCCTGACTCTCAGGAAGGAAGATGGATACCTACAAAGCTGTGCAAGAAAGCCACTGGGCGCCCACAGCCCCGCCACAGGGGCCTCCCCACACGGCATCGCCATGATGGACCATCACCCAAGGCGACTGCTTTAATCTGCTTCCAGTCTGCTGGTTTGGATATTTCAGTGCTGGCATGCGAGTCAAGGCTCGTGTTCCAGCCTTTGCATCTCTTGAGCTCTCTTTGGTGTCTGCAGCTTGTCATTCTCAAGGCGCTGCAGATTTCTCGGGTTCTAGAACACTGCCTTCTCTTGATTTTTGTGGTCTCTTCTATGCCCCAGAGCCCAATGTTGGAAAGGCCCACTACAGCACTACAGAGAGCAAGCAGGATCATGCAAATGGGATTCTTTGCAGGGCATTTCAAGTGCCTTTGTCCTGATGATGATTTTCCAGTTTGCACAGCAGTGGTGTTGGACAGGCAGTGGCCCTCCCAGCCTATGGAGTCAGGCCCTCTGGGCTCAAGCTAGGTTTGCCAGGTGATTTTACATTATAATGCATGCAGGCGTTTTGGCTTGAGTGAGGACTCTGGCTAAAGCTACTGTGCTTGTGGGGATTGGATTTCCACCATTCAGGAGCGTGGAGACCTCCACAGGCCTGACTCACCTTCCAAGCTGAAGATCCTGTCTCCCAGGGCATCCACGATGTCCTTCAGGGCCGCCTCATCGGTGACATTGAAGAAGTGCTTGTCATCAGGATCGCTGGCGATGTATTTGATTTCACTCAGAAAAGTTTCTGGATTGATCCCCCGGCGGTTATAGTAACCCAGGACCTGCCAGGGAAGAGGAGCAGGTGAACAAGCTAGGACTTGGCACCGCCAGGAGTCCCCTGCGGTAGGAAGGAGCCAGGGCTGTCCAGTAGCCACTCTTCAAGGGGTCATTTGTGTGTGTGTGTGTGTGTGTGTGTGTGTGTGTGTGTGTGTGCGCATGCGTGTGCATGCCAGTCCTGAACTAAGGGCCTGAGCACTAGCCCTGAGCTTTTTTTATGCTCTACCAACTGAGCCACAGTACCACTTCTGATGTTTTGGTGGCTGGTACCTGGCTTTCTTTCTTCCTTCTTTCCTTATTTTTTTGCCAGCTGTGGGACTTGAATTTAGGGCCTGGCCACTGTCCCTGAGGTTCTTTTCACTCAAGGCTGGTGCTCTACTGCTTTGAGCCACAGCTCCACTTCCAGTTTTCTGGTGGTTAATTGGAGATAAGAGTCTCATGGACTTTCCTGCCTGGGCTGGCTTTGAACTACAGTCCTCAGATCTCAGTCTCCTGAATAGTTAGGATTACAGGTGAGCCACCAGAGTCTGTCTTCTTCTTCTTCTTCTTCTTCTTCCTCCTCCTCCTCCTCCTCCTCTTCCTCTTCTTCCTCTTCTTCCTCTTCTTCCTCTTC